TCCCTCCTCCTCATTGTCTTAATAATGCTTATGACATCTAGATAAGCCTTTCATGATCAGGGAGTATTATTAAATGTAATATACATTCACAGGTGCCTGTACATTCATGCTAAATAGACAGTGCTACAAAAACATGGCCAAGGGCAAGTGCTTCATCCACCACTTTCTGAAAGCTGAGAGAATGCTCCCCTATAAACTTGAGACTTTTTTCCTGACAATAGAAAATAGTTGATTTAAGAAAAAAAGAAGAGCTAAAGAGATATTTTATTTGATAAAATTTACCTGCTCTAAGTGTACAAATAAGTAATACTTAGTAAATTTATAAAATCTCGACATCATGACCACAAACTGGCTTTAAGAGGCTTCCATCAGACCCTAAAAATTCCCACATAACTAGTCAGCAGCCCTTACCACCTCCTGCCTTCAGGCGCTGGCAACCACTGATCTGCCCTCTGATTGCTTTCATATTCAAAACATTTCCCATGTTATGCTAATCACCTTGCTTAAAGGAGTCTTCAGCCGAGTATTTTCTTTTTTTTTTATTAAGTCACATACACATACATCATGAATATATTTATGCACACGTGAGGTACAATGAGTTGATTTTTTTATACAATCTGACATGCTTACATCACATATTTCTAAAACATTCTTCGAGGGAGCTGCTTTCACAGATGGCTAATGTTCTCTGTGTTGATTCTGGGGGCACATTACTGTGTGTCCCGTAGTAACAAAATACAAGCTTTGGTATCTGACACTATTGAGGTTCAAGTTTATTGCTGAATTAGGGTCAAACTCATCAATTAAAACTTAAGTTATATTTAAGATGTTCCCTTCCTTTTAAACATTTCAAGTAAACCTTTTCACTTAATATTCTTAATTTTTGTAAGTAACATTTCCCAAATAATTTTACAAATAAGGCCTCTCTGGTATGAGTTTTTAGTAGTACCAGATTATAAAATCCTAAAAAAGTTGAAATAGGTATCAAAGTTGGCTAACTGGAAGCTTCAAATAACGCCAATAACTCAGTTTATTTGAAATTATCTGAAATGTGAGGGGCTAAGATGAATATTATCAGTGAAATTCACAAATGATTCACAGATCATAGTTTGGTAATTATTTTCAATTTCTTCTCCTTCCAAAAAATAACACATTTAGCTACCTATACCTTCCAATTTCTATTTTATCAGGAGACTCAACGCAATCACATTTTACGACCTCTACCTTTCTACATAATTTTTTCTTTTTAACTTACAGAATTTACAGAATTTATAACCAAAAAAAAAATTTTTTTTTTTTTTTTAGAGACTCTCACTTCATTGCCCTCGGTAGAGTGCTGTTGCATCACAGCTCACAGTAACCTCCAACCCCTGGGCTCAAGCGAGTCTCCTGCTCCGCCTCCCAAGTAGCTAGGACTATAGGTGCCTGCCACCAAGGCCTGGCTATTTTTTTTGTTGTTGTCACAGTTTGGCTGGGGCCAGGTTCGAACCCACCACCCTCGGTATATGGGGCCAGCGCCCTACCCAATGAGCCACAGGCACCACCCAAAATTTTCTTTTTCTTTTGGAAATCTGTGAGAGACAAAGTCCCTCAAAGTGCTTTATTTTAAAAATTGGACATGAACTATGTAATTGTCTAGTTTATTTCCAGGCAAATAAAACAATTTTCTAAAAAGGCTATTGGTTTCTTTTATTTATATGTATACATACACTAACAAATGAAATTCGGTATCTTGCACATGGCTAAATATTTTCCTTAAAAGCAAGGTGAGGTTAGCAAGCTCAAGCCTCTGGGCCAAATCTAGCTCACCATGTGTTTTTGTACTGCCCACAGCCAAGAATGAGTTTTAAACTTTTGTTTTTTTTGAGACAGAGCCTCAAGCTGTCGCCCTGGGTAGAGTGCTGTGGCATCACCACTCACAGCAACCTCCAACTCCTGTCTTTTAAGCCCTTCGCTTGTCTCAGTCTCCCAAGTAGCTGGGACCCACAGGCACC